TGTTAAAAGGGCGAGGCTTCCCACACACTGTACGTGTGTCAAACTACAGCTCTGAACACTAGACCGAGTTATGCTGTGTCATGTCTGCGTCACATGAGATATTTTTGAAGCAGATGTTGAAGCAGCAGGGATTAAACAGATTAAAGATTCAGGTGGAAGTGCTTTAACACCAGCTGGATGGTGGAGGGAACTGCAGGCAAGCATACATTTGAACTCAGTTGAGGAGTAGCCTAGTATAGTACGGTGCATTTGTAGCCCCTTCTGTGTAATCCTAAACCTATCTGGTGCTGGGGTGAGCAGGTTTTGCTGGAATTTCTTTGACCAAGACAACCTGCTGGGAAAAAAAGATCAACAACACACAGGCTCCCAGTGTCTGCTCTGCTCTTTGGTGTGTTTGTTGTTTGTTTTCCACTGCGGCCTCATTGCCTTTTGTAACGTCACAAGCTTAGAGTCACAGGAGGAAGAAAATGATAACATTTGTTCCATCACTTCATCACACAACTCCATTGTGTCACTAGAAATGTTTTGTCTATATTATTTTTCTCTTCCTTCTATCTGAAAGGCAAGTACATGAATAAATAGAAACCAGATCTGAAAAATCTTATCTGAAAGGCAAGTACATGAATAAATGGTCATTTATTTGGTCATAGATCGTCCACATGGCTGTGACCACGGTCATCTGACTCTTAAATTCTACAACTGCACCTTGATAACATTCTGGTGCCTGTTGTTCCTCCATGTTCCACGAGAGCTCGTCTCACCTTCTCTTTTCACTTTGAAAGAAGTCATATCACGAGGAACACTTTTACCATTATTACCCATGATTATTTTTATACTAACTGTCAGTTGTGATTAGTGGAGAACTGACTCTAAAGAAAACAGCAGGATTGAACTGATCATTTTTCATCAGGTTTTTTTTATCAACAATTTGAATCTGTGGTTTTATTCTGAAGAAAGGGGTCATCTGACCAAAACTTGGCGTAGCACATGTCCTATTCAAGAGTTTGTTTGTTTGCTAGGATTTTTCTGTCTTATATTATATGCAAGTCTTTTCTTTTTGTTTCCCAAAAGATGGCATAAACAAAAGTTAAAATTCTCCGTCTTGGACATTTTTATTCAGGGCTGGGCTAAAAAATTATTCATTCATCATCCTTTGCTGCTTTTGCCCAGCTTTTTCCGTTTCTGTGCCACAAGTAAATGTCTGATCATTTAATTCAATAGTCTGGGGCACATTTAACCTCATTTTTCCCCCTCTGTTCTTAAGGTCAGAAACCAAGTTGTGGTCTCCGCTCTCATCCAAGGAAGGGAAGACACATCCATACAAGATGAATCTTGAGTCAGAGCCACAGGTCTGTGTCCAACCTCAAACCTGCATGTAAAACACCAGCTCTTTAAAATGTGACCCAGCCATTTAGAGTGAGATCAGCAGTGATCCCCATTCACAGGTAGCCAGCTATTTTCTGGGAGCTCAAACATTCCTGTCCAACCGCTCCCACAGAGGCTTGTGGCTTCCTTCTTTTTCCCCTTTTACAGTGCCAGCAATGAAGTCATTGTTTACAGCCCAACAGGACGTTTCCTAGGAGACAGTAGTTTATCATCCCAGCTCTGACGTAACCTCACTTCCTGCTGTGGAGTGGAAAGTCGAGTGCAACGTGTGAATTCATGTAGGAGGCAGGGTGAAGTGTCACAGACTGTGTGTGTGTGTTTGTGTGTTTCACCGACACATGCTTCAGTGCTTGTTTCACTTTGAGGCTACTTTATTTATTTATTGTTTTCTATTAAAGACAGCTTTTTATTTCTTCAGTTAATGTGGTATAACTTCATACAAGTGCAGTGTGGTGTTGTACATTATGAACATGGACTTCCTTTCTCAGGCAATGTACTGTTGTAGACTGTAATTTAAATCCCAGATGCTTGCAGCATGAGCGTGTCCAGAAGCTTCTGTCTGTGTTTCCACTGCAAAGCATGAGCTACATTTTGTGGTATTTATGTGCCCATTTTGGCATGCCAGTGTTGTGACGTTAAATGGTCCGCTGCAATTAAGGCGGAGTCCCGCTGTCCATTATCATGAAAAATTAGGTGAAACTTTACTGCAGACTCCAAACCAGAAGGAAATGAGACTGCGTTGACATTTTCACTGGTTTCAACACAGTGTTATTAGCCGTGTGTTCATAAAAGTGAAGCAATAAAAAAAGGAATCTGCACGTTTTTACACGTTCCTCTGAAATTGTCCAAACCTGTTGGCACCAACTCTGCATGTCTGATGTGGTGCAAGTCATTTCATGAGTGTTGCTGTCCTGTTCTCACCGTCTTTCTCTTTGATTATACGTTTATTGTAATCAGTTTTCTTTGATTCGATCCCAGGAGGTGAGACACATCGGCTCCACCCACAACAGGAGCGCCCTGCCGTTCTCCGGCTTTGGCTCCAAAGTGGTGACCAACCAGTACAACAACCCTTCTGGCCTCTACTCTTCAGAGAACATTGAGAACTTCAACTCGGCTGTGGATGAAGTGAAAAGCAGCACTACAGCCAACGAACCTGCCAACAAGTAAATAAAACAGAATCACACCGCTTTATTTTAAATACAGTCAAACCAAGTTTGGTCCTTTTTTAGTGACATCCCTGATCTCCCTCTAACAAACACAATACTCCTGGCATCTGACGGCTCTAATTTTCCGTGGTCATTTCCATGCTTATCAGTATCAGTAATTAGAGAGGGTGTCCTTTTGGAGGTCATATTTATTTTTTTCATATTTGTTTTCTGTGTAGCCCACACTCACACATTTACATGGATACACACAAAGGCGGGCACACACAGGTCCCACTATAATCGAATGCAACGTCCTTTAGGTTTTCATTTGTTCATTGAACCACTGACTGGTGTCAGCGTGTTAACTGATTGGGCCAACATAGAAAGCCTCGCACAGTTTCTTAGAAGAATTTTTTTTCAGTCCATCATTTCAGAACAAAAAGTCCTCAAATGACTGCTCATCTTTATTATACAGGTGATGAGTAGCCGTACAGTGTGCACACTACTATTCATAATTCAGAGCAGACTTTGAGTGCAATTAAAATTTTATTGTATGCTGTTAAAAAAATTACAGAGCACAAAATGTGTTCAAAGTGTATCCTATAATATAACTTCTTTGCCTCGTTCATGAGGTCAATATCGGCTCATCGAATATTTACTCTTCGAGGTTTGTCTATTCTCAGACTTCCTGATTATTTTTTTGTGTTCTGCGTCGCTGCATTTCAAAACATTTCTCGTGCCATATCTCGTAAATAATAAAAAAGTAGGTCACACTTTAACGACGTGCTTCGTTGTCCTGTCATTTGCGTACATGATACTGTGTCCCAAATAGCACACGTGTTTTAGGACCTCTACAGTTTCACTTGTGTTCCTGAAACCAGTTTTATCTGCTGTTACTCAACACTGTGCACCTTGTTGTTATTGAAAATATTCTGTTTACATCTCAGTTAAACACAAATTTTATTTTACATTCTGCTACATGAAAACTTGAATCGTTTTAATTACTTTACATCTTTACATCATACATCGGTCCATGGCTGACTCTTGAAATAAGTGGATTTGCATTGAGTTTAGTTTTTAAGTAAATAAAAGTAAAGTAAATAAAATAGTATTATAGTAAACTTGAGTCTAGTGGCATGCATGCAGTCTTGTGATTGGCCCAGCAAAGATAAGTGTGTCTTCTTTGTGTGGAGGAGACTACAGCGTGGGGGAGAGGTAAATCAATATTAAAAGTCTCATCAGCTACAAAGGGCACAACGGCCATGTAGTACTAGAGCAACCCCTCATGCATTTTTTTCATAAAGAGAACATTAATCATTTACATTTATTATTTTTAAATAGTTCTGGATTTGTTGTTTGTTTTTGCAGAACTCCTACAGACGCTTCAATGACAAACAAGCGGCCACCGTTGGCGGAAGATTCAGAAGTTTACAAGATGCTCCAGGAGAACCAAGAGTCCGACGAGCCACCCCGACAGTCGGCTTCATTCAAAGTGCTGCAGGAGATTTTGGAGTCAGGTAAGCAATCGAATTAAATTAAAAAAAAACTTTCTGTTAACATTGATGTGTGTAGATCTTAGGGAGTCATTGAGGTCCATGTCAACATTTAATCAGTCTGATATTTCCAGGCGACTCTGATAAACCATCAGGGTTTAGGAGCGTGAAGGCACCCACGACAAAGATCGGTTCCTCAGTAGGGAACACAGAGAAGTTACCCCAGTGTGACAAGTGTGGATCTGGGATCGTGTAAGTGTTTGATGTCGTTTTCACTCATTTTATTTTCTCTCACACAGACCTGGCGTGTCTCCATCAGGAAGCTGATTTTCGTCTACATTATATTTGCTGTTTTTGTTTCACAGTAGCAGAGTGTTGCTGCTGGAGTTTCGTCTCCCCCTACTGGTTTAAAGAATCATAACACAAACCGCTGGTGTTTTGTCGCTGTTATTTCTTGTAATTTTAAATTTTAATCTTTTTTTTACCTAAAATGTATATTGTTTTTCAAATATCAACTTTTAACATTCTTTTTAATATTTTGGCCACTTTCAGGGAGACTGCACTAGGGTAAAGTTGTTTTGTTTTTTTTTGCAAAGGGGGACTTATTTGGATGGTAGTTTTAAATTAAAAAAAACCTATAAATCACTCTTATCCTAAATTTCATAGAACTAATTTGGTCCAGAAACACTGTTAACAACTACTTTTTTTTTTCAGTAGAAATAGTGTAAGTTGAGTCTCACGTCATCTTTCACTCTGCTCTCTAGGGGTATGGTGGTGAAGCTGCGGGACAAGTTCCGCCACCCTGAGTGCTACACCTGCACAGACTGCAACACCAACCTTAAACAGAAGGGACATTTCTTTGTGGAGGACCAGATTTACTGTGAGAAGCACGCAAGAGAGCGGGTGACACCGCCCGAGGGCTACGACGTGGTCACCGTCTTCCCCAAGTAGACGACCTGCTGAGCTCGGCCTGGGACTGCACGCCGCCAAACCACACGTGACATGACATAATCTGAGACATTACAGTATTCAGCTGATGCTACCAAAGAAGACGTGTTCAGACTGCAAACCTGTCACGATGTTTCCTTAACATCAGGTTGTGTCTGGCGGTAGTGGAAGTTAAAATAGTTTATATCTGATTAATTTGTCCAAAATTCTCAAAGCAAAACTATGTCAGTGTGCTGCACAGAACTAGATCATCTCACAAGATAAACTCAGTGTTGGACAAGATGTATTTAAGTCTAAGCTGTGGTCCAGTTTGCTGAGTATTTCAATATTCTAAAGATATTGTACAACAGTTCAGTCTGACTTAAAACCAGCCAAAATCTGAAAAGCTTGATGTTGTTTATGTGGCAGTCTGAACATGGTCTGAAACTTCCAAAATTTCTCCCCTACATTTTGCGTCCGTACAGTCACTGGTAGGCAGACGAGTGTGAGCCTAAAATGTTTCAAAGTGTTAATTTGCACATTATGTTTGACTTCAATGAGAGATTGTTTGATCTGAGGTAAGAGTTAAAATCCCGCACCCCTCCCAGAATGTAGTTTTGACATGTAGAATGACAACAAATGTTTCTTTCTCTTTGAATCAGAAAACCATTCTTTCGAGACACGCTTTTAATTCTTTTTTTTAAATAAATATTTCCACTTTTATTCAGCAAAAACTCATAAATATCATTGCCAAATAAATATTTTTTATCTTAAACCACTTCTGTCATGATTCATTGATTGTGCTTTATTTAAATTATGCTAATCATTTTTAAATATTAAAAAAAGATAAAACAAATGAAACCTGACTTGTCAACTATATCTGATAATTAAATAACAAAAAGATGATCAGATGATGAACCCAGGTGTTTCCAAGGATCTTAAAATCATGTTTACAAAGGTTGTTTTTGTTCCTCTGTTAACAAATCAATTACATGTTCAGATAAAGACCATGAATTCATTCTGGAATATTAGCTTTTGTGAGGCTGACCGACTAAATCCGTGGTCCAAAGTTTGGAGATCATAGTTACCACATAGAAGTGTAATAAAAGGATTGGCCCGCTGTCATGATGTCACATCTGTGGTCATGTAATGATGTGTAGGGACAGTTTGGGTCCATGTCCCCTGAGGACCCATATTCAGACTCTGTTGGACTCCTCAGACCCGACACTGCTGACAGATAGTCTGCAGCGTGTCCTCGCTGCTCAGCCATACGCAGCGTCTCTGTTAGGGCCCAGATGTAGTTGTGGGCAAAGCGCAGAGTTTCTATCTTGGTCAGCTTTGCGTCTTCAGGCAGTGCTGGCAGGATGCGTCTCAGCGCATCCAGGGCAGAGTTCAGGTTGTGCATGCGGTCGCGCTCTCTGTCGTTGGCTTTCATTCTGCGTCGACCCCGGGGTCCTCCCCGGTGCCATCCAGTTCTTTGCTCTGTATGTCTGGTTGAAAGTACAGACTCCATTCTTTCACCAGATGAGTCTTTGTTGACATGGATACATGTGTGTGTGCCGTCAGCCTCACACTGTGCTGCAGGAGACATCCTGTAGGCAGGGAAATATCAATAATACTGTGGCTGGATTATTTAAAAGAAACAGTGAAAGTCAGAGTGAAATGAAATGACTAATGGACTGCTGTGAGATGTGCTATGATGAATGCTTTGTAAAAAGTGATATGGAAGAGAGAAATATAAAAATATGAAGAAATCCTAGAAGAAGGAGACAGGAGAAAGAGCGGGAAGATGTGAAGAGAACACCAAAACAAAATGGAAAGAAAATGAAGATGATGGAGAGAGTAAAAAGTAAATTAAAGTAGAAAAACAGTAAACATGAAAAAAGTAAAACATAAATAAATAAATGGAGAAAAAGTAAAGGTTGAAATAAAACATGGAGTTTGTGGTTGACCATACGGAAGCCAGGAGATAAAATGAAAAACAAGACGTCATGAGGAAGACTGGAACAAACACAATACATTTATATTAAAATTTACAAGTTTATGATCCCACCAGTTTTACTTGCTTTCATAATTAGGCAATTTTTTTTTTACCGTGCGTTGCACTTTAAAACACAGTACAAAGTAACCAAAACGACCCCCATGACTTATAGTACTCACACTTACTTCATCTGCTGAAGCCTGGACGAGGAGACGGCTTGTGGTCCTTGTTATTGCTGCAGGTGGAGGCGCAACTGACAGTGAGGGATGGATGCGCATCCTTGTCATTTTATATGGCCTTTATCTTATCTGTCTAAAGCCTGGAGGAAGACTGAATCAACAGCCCTGACAAGTGACCAATCAGCGTTCAGACACCGCTTTCTCCAACCTGTGCCTCCCTCAGTCCCTACACCGGTCTGTTTCTTTGTCTTTGTGCTAATGTTTTTTAATGCATTATTTTTACTTATTATTATTATTATTGTTATCATTATTATTATTATTATTATTATTATTATTATTATTATTATTATTATTATTATTATTATTATTATTATTATTATTATTATTATATATTTTAAGTGATGATAGTAAAAACATGCTTTGCTCCACGTTCAAATTACAATTCTACAATTAGTCTAATTTCTTTGTGTATAAAATAACCTGTTTTACTCACAGAATCACTCTTACCAAATCATAATAACAATATGGTGACGCGGTTCGTTTTAGCGTCCAAAGACCTCAAAGCAAATATTGAAACCAAATCTCTACGTTCAAATATGTTTTGTAGAATATTTGATCTTTTGGGGGCGGTTTCCGGGTAATCGCTTGAAACTTTGAGCAAAATATACCTTATATCTGTTGATGTAAAATCAGAGGTGAAATGTATTCACCTCTCGTTGTCAGTCACCAGATCACTGTTTCTAAAGGGGATGTTCGGTGCCACCTTTACGCACTCCGAATGTTTCACAGAATATACAGAGGTTGCGGTATATCAGACATCCACGTCACAATCTGTGGACATCTCACCATGTAGCACAGTGGTACAAAATACAGACACTAGAATTAAATCAGATTTTTTTTTATTCTACGGTTTTTTTTATTCCAAGTTGTGCGCTCCTTCCCTGCTTAAATGTTATTTGAAATCTTTAAAACGTCTTCAAAACTGCTCCTTTATCAGACTTGAGAAATATATCTGGAGTTAAAACTCATTTGTGATGACGTATAAAAATGAGCCTTTAATGGGGGTTTTCCTCCAGGCCAATTATATTTGACAAACGTGTGCTTATGGCGTTAAAGAGAAGGGAAGTTTGGATGCTGTGGACAAAGACAATTACGCATGGGGCCACCTAACAATAGAGGTGGGGCAGAGTGAAACCTCTTGTCTAACCTTTAAGTACTAAGTGTCTTCTTGTGTCTGACACCAACAAAGGTGTATTTTCTTCTCTGGTGCGGTTGTAGATCTGTGCGTCATGACCTCTCCAAAACGTGCCCAAATATCGCCAAATCTCCGTGGCGCATGACAAAAGTGCACTTTAAATGGGGTTTAAAGACCAATAAAACACGTCAGCGTGCTGTGGACACGTGTCCGCTGTGGTGAGGGGGAGAGGGGGAGTGTGTGAGCTCAAACATGGTTTACAATTGCAAACAAAAGGGCCACAAGCGCTGGCCTTAACTTTCTGTCTAAATATGTGTTTTGGGGACATTCTGCTAACCATATGCTTTCAATAAAGTGGACAAATAACGTGGTGAGATATGAGATGGTGCCTGGCTGTTATAAAAGGCAGGAAAAGACTAAAGTAAACTAAAATATTACCACTTAACAAATAATCATTGATGCCAAATCCACGCTGGGACGTGAGGGGACAGGTGTTGGTTTGAAGTCTTGAGTCTCCAGCTTTGATTTTTTTTATCAGCGTGCTGTAGTGTCCTGCTTGTTATGCAAAGTATGGGCAAACACGCGACGCAGCCAGTCTGCGTGGAAATAACAGATATCGGAGCAGACTTGGTCCCAACGTAATTTAACAATATTTAACAATAAAGTGAGTGAGCGCCCGAGCAGGTGAGATCTGCCCGAGTCTGCTGATTAATACTCACCCAAGTACTTCACTTTACACGCTCCTTTCCTTATTTATTATACCAAATCTATTTATTATTATTTTAGCAAACAGGGGTAACAGGTGGTGCTTTATTTTCGTCTTCAACGTATTGTCTGAAGGAGGTTTTCAGGGGGACAATCAAAGTCCAACAACTCGCTGACCAGATTGTTGTCATCCCAAACCAGCAGCCAGGCCATTCAGCGTCTCCCCTCCTCTTGTTCTATCTGCCAAAGAGCTGCCGAGAGAGAGGGAAGAAAAGGCAAACTTCTTCAAGAAAGGAAAAAACATCTTAAAACATTTAATTGCAACCCGGATGCCATATGTACACCTCTTGTGAGAACCCTCAACAATGTGACTGCCTTTTAGAAAGTATGGAGTGCGCCTTTGGAGACGTGTGCGCTTTTGGAGAGGTGCGCGCGTCGTGACCAGAATGACCCTGAACACACTTAGAACGAGAAGTAATTCACTTTTAATGTGCTTTGGAGTTTCCTTTCACGGGCATGGCATTGTAGCTCTCACCTCAGCCTTTGAACACAGTGTACACCAATTACAGTGGAATAGCCGTCCTTTGGAGACTGTTTGTCTTTTTGAAAAGAGTGAAGATTTTAAAGGGCCGTGGCTGCAAGTCGCCCCCTTTCACCCGCACACTACTCTGGCAGATTGGTGTTTCTTTTTTTAAGAGTGTGTTTGCAGTGTTGAACTTTGCATTCATTAGTAGCTCATTGTGGATGACAAAAACAAATGTGCATTTTCTGTCACTTAGGTGAAGAGGCAAAATTAGAGGCAGCTACAGAAGCCGCCAAAGTTTGGAATATCGACTTTTCTGGGTCAAAGGTTTTATTTTATGCGCCTAAATGTGGTGTCCAGTCTGAAACTGGCTCTGCTACCAATGTGAACTATAGATTCCACGTCACGTAGTAGAAGTTGAGTGCGTTCTTCCATGAGATGGCACAGACAAAGACAACCTTATCGCCACTGAATGCACTGTGTTTGTCAGAATTTACGCCACCTGCTGACCACAGCACTGCTCAGATCACACTGCACATCCAGATCTGGTCTCTGTTAGGACAATCCAAGTCTTTAAATCAACTTTTAAAAACGTGTTTAATAACCCATGGGTGGTTTCAATGCCGGGAATTTCAACATTTCTAGTTTTAGCGTTCTTTCACCCAAAACCGTTTTTTTCACTATTTGGACATGTGCGTTCTTTCACCCAAAACCGTTTTTTTTCACTATTTGGACATGTCATTTTTGGTCAGGTCATTACTTCCTCTTCCTTCTTTGAAACCTCCATTCCATCTTAAAGAAAACCGCTGAGAATAATGAAGTGCTGAGTAAAATGTTTCATGTTTGTTTGGCAATGAACAGTGTTGACTTTGTGCCAAATATCCAGTTTAAATGACAAACAAAACTTCTACCTTGGTTCATCAGATAATATATGTTTTCTTTAATAATCGTTTGGAGCATAATGTATTTTTACATTAATAGTAAACAGCTTTGTATCCAAAGAAAATCAAGCAAGAAAAAAACAGCTCACACGGTTTATTTGTGACTCATTAAATACTGTTTCCAATTCATTCATATGGCTGAAGTATATTCAGTCTTTTTTGGGGCATTTTATTTTTATTAATGTGAATCTATACCACATATGGGTTAATGATGTAACTGTGACAGTGCATTTTATTTTTTTAACCATATAATACTTGCAGTGCCAACACCTATCGACATGATGGCGCTGTCTTCACCCTCAAATTAAACCAACATTTCACTTAATTGTGAAAACAAAAATGACTAATTTTGGACTTAATGTGTGTAAGCTAATTACGTAATAAATGTTGCAAGACTTTTAAATCGTTTTGCCTTGGGTTTATAATATCATTTACTAAATACTTAACGTTTATCCTAAAATCATTGTTTAGATCAATTTTGAACTGAAGAGTTCAGAGAACAGAAAAGACACAAAATTGATATTTTTTGACATTTGCATACAGGCTTTTCTTGTAAATGGTGTTTCGATTCTAGCATATAGCTTTTTTTCTTTCACGTGTAGAGAAAATTTGGGTTTATATATTGATTTGCAACACGTACTTTATCTCTATAATGTACTAAATTATACACGCTATATTTCTTATTCACTTTGAAAGAAAAGCAATAGATATTTGCTAACTCATTTCTTTGTGAGACAACGCTTTTAGATGTTTTCTAAAATGAAAAGATTTATAATGTATTTGCAGTTGCAGAAAAACACGCAGATGCATTTTATGCAACGCTTCCACTTTTTTGTAGATTTACGCATGCCGAGACGCGATTTTACGTCATGACGTCCCCAGATACTTCTTCCTGACTAGAACGTTAGCTTGTTGCTGTGTTTGATAGCAGCATGTAAATGAGGCTTCGAAGGCTGGAGTGAGAAAGCAGCAGCGGAGCGGCTACTTTGGTTAGAACTACAGACAAAAGGAGAATTGGAGACAGAGTTTGCCGCGACATCATGGATTATTGGGTGAGTGTCTCTTCATTTATGTTTGTTTTTACAGCCGGTGCGTGACACGGGAAGGTGACAGTTGCTGCGGCTGGGACTTGTCAGTCGTTGAAGTAAAACTTGTTTTCTATCAGAGATGTTGCAAGACCACAAACGGAGACAGTCGCAATTTAACAGTCAGAATACTATAATTCCAGTTGAATTAATACCTAAGTGTGACATGCGACATAAAACGACTGTGTATAGATTTTAGGAACAATGAAAGTGGTTGACATAGCTGTCTTTACGTTTTGTTTTTTGAAGCCATTAAGCTGTGTTCTTTATAACCAGCGGACCAGTGACAGAGGGAAGTTCCTCTTCTGTTTGTGGTTTAAAGCTCCTCTTGTTCCTGTTGTTTATTAAGTAAACGACTGTTTAAAACAAGAGATTCTGTTTGTTGGTAATAGACAAGAAGTTTAAACAAAGACACGACCCACTTCTGGGATCACAGAGCTGTTTGGGTTTTTGTGAGATTCTCCTCAAAAGTGTTGACATGCTATCAAACATGAGTGGCAGCTGATGAAAGACAAAACATTGAGCACTAAAATGCAGCTAACCTGACACAGATCTGCTGCCAGTGCAAAATAAACTTCCAGTCTCTCTCTTCACTGAACTCTTTAAAGTCAGCTGGGGTAGAGGAAGATGGGGAAGAGGAAGAGGGTTCTTCTTCTCCTGCAGGAGTGTGCAGCAGAGTTTCACCTTGATGTATCCAGGAGCCGCCACCTCAGAGTCACACCTAGTACATTTCCATGAGAACATGACCTTCCCTCTGGACAACAAAAGCTCTCCTTACAAGAATAGTCAGATGTTGCGTGAGGGGGAGCCAAAGAATGGGCGTCCGCTGTTCAAACGTTGTTGGACAATGCTAGTTTATAAGTCTTTGTGTGGAGTTGGTGTAAGTTTTCCTGAGGTGAGGCTTGTATTGAATGGAAAAAGTATGGGTGGACCTGAAAGTGGAATACAAAGACAGAAAATGTGTCAAAGGCCTTCCTGGGCTCAAGCACTGACGTTAAATTACCTGTCTCTGTTATGATGGATGTGTGTGGCAAACCTGTATCGCTGCATTTACACTACACGTTTTTAACCTTCGTAGAACATTTTCAAATGTGTTCTTTTAAACAATGGCAGATTACCAGAGCAACACATAACATAGCATCTTTATTATTGAAGCTCAATTTTTGTTTTAAAAGTGTCAACACTAAAACAGTTGAGTTGAGTAGAAGAAATATTGATGCTCTCAGAGAAGCAGTAAGACATACAGTGTAAACGAGCTGGGATGGAAAACAAAAGCACTAGTCTAGGAAGAGGTGTTTATAAAAAAGAGAAAAAAACTAAATTTAGGCCCAAGAAATCAAATCAGATTAGAATATGTTTATATACACTAGAAGCATGTAATTTAGAAAATGGGATGGAACTAGAACTAGTAAGACCCAACAACCCTGCTCCCAGTGATTAACAGTAATAGAAGAGATAATGACCTGAGGCTACTTGGTGTGAGAATGGAAAGAAGCAACCTAAAGAACAATGGAAAAACTGGGGAAGAAATGCCAGAGGGAAGTTAAAAATGTAAACTGCCCTTAAGATCATGGTCCAAAAATAACTACACTATGTTGTTTAGCAAAAGAATATACAACTGACCATGAGAGTTTACCTTAAAATAAATTAATGAAGTCTTGTAAGCTAAACAACTCCCTTTACTCCTTAAACTACAATTACATTTATTTGGAGAGCTACTAGTTTGGAGAGTCATAAAACTTAAGTCTTGCTAGGCTTGTCTTATCACCACTGATCTGGCCTAACCTGTACTGTATAAGAGAACAGTAAACAAAAAGGCAAGTATGACTATTTTAGATTTCTGTCTAAAGGTAAACTTCAGTGTCCTGTTTATAAGCCTTCACATACTATTTATCCCCAAACTCCCCAGCCCATAGAGACATTTCTAAAATTCACTGTCATATTTTCATGTCATAAAAATAATAAAAACACACACACCGATTAGTTAAGATAATGACCTTTGAGTTTCGTTCTTTCCTCCATCGGATTGGACAAACCTGTGTCCCTGTTATCAAACAACTTTGTCTAGTGTTGTAAAAAAAAAACCTGCATAAAGGTAGCGATAATGAAAAGATAAATACACTGCACTTATGAAATAACAGTTATATATGTCATCGCCTCACCAACTGTTATGGGTTAGTGCTGCTAACATCCCTACATTTACATCCAGATGGTCATAGAGTATTTCAGTAGTTAACAGTGACCAGAAGTATTAACGTTACAGATCTGCAGAGTTTCAGCCTGAATTTCCTGTCTTTACATATTGTGGTTGACAAGTACAAAATCGTCTTCAGGCTGGTTAAGTGTTTTACAGTTGTTTGTGGTGCTGGGAGGAGCCAGGTGATAGTTGTGCTGTTAGCGCAGCGTGTTGATCTTACTTTTACTTGGAGATCGAAGGAGATTCTGTCACTACGTTGGCCTGTTTGACGGCAAACCTGCCAACAGTTTTTGTTTGAGGAGGAAACTGAGCTATTTAGGTCACAATGGCTTCAGATGTAAGTACTTCAATTTACAATATAATGCTGCAGAATGACTTCTTGAGCCTGGTAGTTTCTGTGTGAATGCAAATGTGTTCATAAGTAGACTCTTTAATTCACCATTCCAGTTTGAAACTATTAAACTCACATTAATATACCATATGAATATTTATTAATATAACTTTGAAATTAAATATTTATATTAGGATTCAAGGATGCTTACTTACATTGACTGAATTTGCAACTAGATAATCAGATATAACAGAGTAAATATCTCTGGATCCGCTCTTTCATTGAACTTTTGATGCATCATTTGTTTTCAGGGTGCATTAGAAGTGTATAAAGAGATGGTCATGCTGTATGTGGAAGAAGGTCGCCGACAGATCAACTTCCACTGTTCACACCTGGAACCATGGCAGATCATCGGAGCAGCAGTCATCACCACTCTGGGAGCAGTCTGGATGAAGGCCTTCCTCTTCCAGCAAGAAAGTAATCTTTGACACATGACATGGGTTAACTGACTTGGCCTGACACAATGATAACAAAGTGAACCATGGAGACTGTAGTCACAGATATTTCTAAGTCATAAAATTTGCAACATCTCAAAAATTGAAATCAGTTTGGAGTATTTGTCGCCTCCTGTGAAAATGACATGTAGGAGAAGTGTTACCTAATGGTGGGTCATAATTCAACTGTGTGCCATGGATACATTTAGAGTTGTGGGAATTAATTAATAAAACATTCATTGCTTATCTGGTATATTTTTCTCAGTCACTTTCTCTCTCTGAATTTTGGTTCAACTAAAACTTCTAGAGATTCTCTCTGCTTTGGTTTTCAACAAAGGATCATTTAAGTAACTGTTGCCTTACAATCGGCTTCAACTTGTCTAGCTATTATCCTCTGACCCCTGACATTATGAGATTTTACCATCCAGAGAACTGCTGCTCACTGGACGTTTTTTTTTTTTTGTTTTTTTTTTTTGGGAATGTTCTCTGAAAACTGTAGCGATGTCTGTGCAGAAAATCCCCAGTTGCTCAGCACATTTTGAGAACCACAGGCCAGGCTCTTTGGTAACAACATTCGTGCCAAGTGAAAAAATACTTAATCACAGTTCTCACCCATTTTGATGCTTGAAGAAATGAGCTGCATGTCTATAATGCCCTCAGAGTCAGAATGAAGGGGTTCATTGTCTGGGGCTTGTGATTTAAAGTCACGTTCAGCTGACTAACATTTGCTGCCTTGTCTTCTTTTTTTGTTGTAATAGGTCTCACGTCACGAATTAAGAAGCAGTGCTTTAGACTCATCAGAAAAATACCCTTCATCGGCGGGGCAGTAAGTATCTGTGGTTAAGTCTGTTCCCGTTTTTCCCCCCAGGAGATGTGCAGTGTTTGTGCTGCCTCAGTCTGTCGTGAGTCACCAGTCGCCAGATGAATGTTTATGAAGGGTGGGGGCGAGGGTGATGTGGGGTCAGACCTTTGACACACTTAATATCATGCTCTTGTGATAATGTTGTGTTCATTATGACCTCTAGTCATACACTAAAAAATATATTGATATGAGAGTCAACATGCAGGAGTTAACACATTTTCAAAGCAATTTTGCAATAGTGTTGTTTTAATGGATACAGAAAAGAAAATGATTTATGTTTAAATCTTTGTTTTTGTAATGGTATGTGTTTGGGCAAATATGGCTTATCTCCAAATCAATTTTACTAAAAGTCATGTGACTGATGAGTCCTAGAACGAAGAAAAATGCAACTCTTTGTAACAAACAACACAGTAGGGCAAACACAGACAAATTAGAAGCAAAAAAAAAATTCTCAATCTTCAGATTTCCATTTTGGTGCCTTTGCTCCAGGCCACAGCTGATTTCTGACCCTGATGTTGAGTTTATTTACTGTATGTCAAAAAATAACTCTTTGCCCTTTGTCAGATTCAGAGCCAGCTGAACAAAGCTTTGGACGACATGTCTGAGAGTCTGTGCACTCTGAAGAATGGGATGAGTTACACACAACAGCTGCCTTCTAAAGGCCTCTCTCAGAGCCAAGTGCTGGAGAAAATCAAAGAACACCAGACTCTGAGTAAGTCATCGTCATTGTGGATAATTAATGTTTCAGCTAAGAGTGACTGATAAGATGGCTCATCCTGAACGTCTGCAGATGAGGTGCCCTGGGAGAAAGGATGTGTTTCTGGTGCAGTGTACTGGGGAGATGAATCACTGACCAAGCTGTTAGTTAAGGTGTGTTTCATTTCGAGCAAAAACAGTGGATGAAAAAAAAATATATTGAATAACATTTTTATAATAGGTACACGCAGCAGTAAAAATGTACTTGTACTATTTTCTTCTGCTGCTGTCAATGTTTCTCTCCTTTGTTTGAAGGTGTATGGAGATTTTGCATGGAGCAATCCACTTCACCCAGACATCTTTCCAGGAGTCAGAAAGATGGAGGCAGAAGTTGTTAGAATGTGTTGCACTCTTTTCAATGGTGGGCCCAACTCCTGTGGCACAGTAAGTCAAAGCCTCGTGCACATTTACAGAGCACAGTGAGAAGCTATAATTCATCAATACTTCTGCTTTGCTCAGGTTACTTCAGGGGGAACTGAGAGCATCCTAATGGCCTGCAAAGCTTATAGGGACATGGCATATGAACGAGGTGTCAAATACCCTGAAATGTAAGACTCATTATGCACTGTGACCGTTATCTAAGACACACAAATGTTTTTTTGTTAATTATTTACCTTGTATTTTATGTTAAATGGACCAAGGCACAAATAACGTCTCCTCTGCACTTCTGTGAAATAAAAAGTACCTTTAGAGGCTGGTCCAGAAAAAAACTAATGTCAGGCTGTGGTCAGGTTTTGTATTCTACACACTTACTGACCAGTAGATCAGTATGACATTTCTCACTATCAAAGTCTTTATCAAATAACTGCCATTTGTCAGCATGAGTCGTTATATAGAAAGTAGAAATGACCATCTCCAGTACATAACCTAGTACAATGCTTACAAGTTGTACTGACTAATAATACACATATTACAGAAACCCATTCACACACATCTTCTAATGTGTGTTTTGTTCTGACCTCTTCAGTGTGGCACCTGTCAGTGTCCACGCAGCTTTCAACAAAGCCGCTCACTACTTTGGGATGAAGTTGGTTCACATTCCACTTGACAATAAAACTATGAAAGTAGACGTGAAGGTGAGACCACAACAGAGAGTTAACACACAGCTGTCTGGTTTTTCTTTTTAGTTCTTAAGTTCCACTCATGTTCTCTATTCCTTTTGTCCAAGGCTATGAAAAGGGCCATCAACAAGAACACAGCCATGCTTGTCTGCTCAGCCCCACAGTTTCCTCACGGAATCATTGATCCCATTGAGGAAGTGGCCAAGGTAAGAAAGGGATACATTTTTCTTCTTCATTTCTGATTTTAAAAGAAGGAAGTTGCAGTACAATACTTTCTCATTGTATCTTCCAGCTGGCTCTACGTTATAAAATCCCACTGCATGTTGACGCCTGCCTTGGGGGTTTTCTGATTGTCTTCATGGCCAAGGCTGGTTACTCACTGGCTCCGTTCGACTTCAGGGTAAAAGGTGTGACCAGCATCTCGGCAGATACGCACAAAGTAAGGAGTACAAGATCACTTCAGCTCTCTTACAAAAGATTTATATCCAAAAAATCATCCTGGAACTAGACCTCATACGGTGCGTAAGACAACAGTCTGGGAATGTTGAATGTTATGTTTAATCTCACCTAGCTTAAAGAAAGTCTGAGTCTCACCCTTGTTATTTTAAATCACTGTTGCATACATTAATCTATACCTTTGTGTGACATTCCTTCTCCAGTACGGCTACGCCCCTAAAGGTTCATCTGTGATCCTGTACAGTGACAAAAAATACCGTCACCACCAGTACTTTGTAGCACCAGACTGGCAAGGGGGAATCTACGCCTCACCCTCGATAGCGGGCTCCAGGCCTGGCGGTATCATCGCCGCCTGCTGGGCTACAATGATGCACATGGGAGAGAACGGATATGTGGATGCCACCAGGAAAATAATCAGCACAGCGCAGAAAATCAAATCAGAGTAAGATCCTAAAAGTGACAAGTTGTCTTAAAATACCAATAATAATACACAGTGGTGATTGAGTTTATCTGCTTCATGGAATAAGCTTCTTTGGCAAAAAGTGTGTAAATGTAAAAACATTTAAAGCTCATTCCTTGTGTGACACAAGTTGGAGGTTTCAGCAAAAAATGATGTCATTAGTTCACTGAGGTTTAAGTGAAGTGAAAGTGATTTATTGTCATCGTGGCACCGTACACCACTGCACACAACAAATGTGACCTCTGCCTTTAACCCATCGCCATGGCAGGTTAATGGTATCAACTTAAAGTTAAAATGACTGCAGCTTCGACAGTTGTCATTTCATTTTCACATTGACAGAATCAGGAAGATAAAAGGGATCTTTGTCTTCGGGGACCCAGAGGTGTCGGTGGTGGCCATAGGATCAGATGTGTTTGACATCTTCCGTCTGTCTAATGCACTGACGTCGGAGGGCTGGAACTTGAACACTCTGCAGTTTCCTTCCAGGTTTGTAACTGACGACTGGCAGTGATTTATTATTTCTGGCTTCAGTCGATGATTCCCACTGAACGTCCCTCTGTGTTTCACAGCATCCATATTTGCTGCACAGTTTTGCACACCCAGAAGGGAGTCGCCGATCAGTTTGTCCGTTGTGTCAGAGAGCAGGTTGCCATCATTATGAAGAATCCCAAAGAGAAAACCACAGGAATGGTAAGACAAATCACCAGAGCCTCTGTCATGTGTGACAGACCTTGGCTGCTGTTAACAAATTATCACCAAAAGTCAAGTTTTATCACTGTCTAGTTTAGCTGCTGCTCTTTGGACTTTCACACTGAACTGAACCCTCACAGAGGACTGTGGGAGATTCAGTGTGTTTAACCTTTTATTTAACTTTTATACAAGTGCCTTTTTGTTTTCTGCTTCGTAGTTTGAACTTGATTATTATTAAAAAATAACCTTAATTTTTATTAAGCCTAATTTTAAAATGAATCTGTGTCACAGAGTTTCCTGTAGGAGTTTTCAACTTCTGTAACTAACTAAGTGATAGTGATTACAACATGAGTGTAGTAGTGTTTCTAAAGTCCATGTTTCCTTACTATCAGAGTGCTGCTATTATAACATGATCAGTTGATTGTTAACTTGGCGTTATGGGTTGTTTTGCTGCTTTTTGCTAAGCAGTACTTCTAAAGGGTAAAGTGGTGCCGTTTTACTATAATTATCACACACAAAAAACATACAGCAGCAACAGCAACATAAGACACAGATCTGGACTTGACCTGTGTACGTGCACTGAAGAGGAGCCCTGCTGATAATGATAATGAGAGATTAGATGTTCTATCTCTCGCTTTGTTTATGTCACTTTTTGACAATTCTGCTTGCATCATGCACAGACAGAGAAACCAGTACTGATCAGTTACACAATAATACAATGTTGGATCAATAATAAATAACAAAATTAGTTCAGAACACAACATGTTTAAGTAATCTGCAAATTTTGATATATTGTCATAATACCCCTTATGGCATTGGGTACCAGTTCAGCCTTTTCCATCAGTTGCTGATGCGTTCACTAACGTCTTCCTCTTGTTTCAGGGAGCGATCTACGGCATGGCTCAGTCCATCCCAGACAGATCCTTGGTAACAGAAATCTCCCAGGGTTTCCTCGACTGTCTCTACAGCACCGAGGTGCACAAGACAAACACCAACCACATGAATGGCAACGGCAAAGCCCACTGACAGTCGTGCACGCTCACCCCTCCCTGTCACCCACTAGAGCTCTGACTTAGCTGCTTAACGGTTGCCTTACTATACAGCATAGAAAAACATCAGTGAAGATCTGTGAAGCACAAGCCACTGTCACTGTAATGAGCCCCAGAGGGAATTATTTTAAAACTGGGCCCAAATAGCACAGAGTGACAGCTTCCAAACTGGTTTTAATTCTTTTGTTCTTTTTTCGTTGTTTTTTTTGTTTGTTTGTTTGTATTATCACCTTAATTATTGCAACTGTGTGACTTTTTTGTGTTTTATTATCACTCATTTCAATTTTAGCTTTTGTTCAACAAATGTTAGTCTCAATTTCTACTAATCATGAAATAATTCCAATTAAAAAAAAACAAACAACAACAACAAAAACATCAACAAAAACCACCACAACATTTCAGCCTTTAAAAGACACAGACCACTGAAAGCCCATAGGAACGCTCTGCTGCCCTCTAGCATGAAACTAAATGTACTGCTCCAGATCAGCACGACGTTTGGAGCTGTGCTGGTGTGTTTGGACTTCACCACCTGACGACTTGTACTGTAGTAATAATTCGCTGGAAAATAGCCTTTAAATGAACATGCACTGCAATGCCCTGACCTCAACATATCAGGTTGAATCTATATCACTTGAAACTAAATTTTTATCAAACTGTTTTTTTGAATTCTTATTTTGTTGCCCAATGTTCACCAGAGTAGGGTTTGTAGAAAGATAGACGAAGATTAAGGTTGAGTTTTTAAACAAAGTAGTTCAGTTTTTGAAGTATTACCACATACACAGTGCTGGGTTTAGGGGCATTGTGACTGACCTCCTGACACTAACCTCTCTATTATCTGTATTTGGGACCAGTACTTGCCAGGGAAGAGATGGGCCACTTAGGGGTTAAATGCCCTCGGACGCTGCATTCCAGATCAAAGATGAAGCCATTAAGCTGAAGATATTAAGTCTACGATATTAAAACATGTTTATCTTTTGATTCTACATAATCAAGTGTTCAAAGTCTTTTAAATTCACTACACCATAGTCCATAGAGAAAAACACCAAATTATGCTTCATTACCACGTTTTTAATTAGGTGAATCCAGGACAGATATGGGATGGTTCCAGTCTCCACTGTGTCAAATACTTCACACACAGATCTTAAAAATGGATTATCTGTGCTTTTTTTATTAACAAGGGACTGTTAAATTATATATATTCTAATAATATACAGAGTCTGATAGTAATCGTCCTTAGTGACTTATTCTTACACAGATGTTGGTTGTAATGTATTGGGACATGTTACAGCCTTTAATCACAGACTGGGCTGAAGGTTGTTTCCATCTCTGTTCCACTGTCCAGTGTCAGGCGGTGTTTTTCTCACCTCATAGTCACCTGTGTACTTCTTCATTTTAAATATTGGTCTAAATCTACCTCAGTTGTTACTCAATGCAACTCATCCATCCATAGAAACACAGTCTAACAGGGCGTCTTTGTTTTTACCACTTCACACACAACGGTCACTATGTTGAGGCAACATTAACACACGGCAATAAAGTGTTCTTAGATTTTGATGGAGATCTCCGTCCTCTGGATCTGGCATTTAATTATGGAATGGTGTCGCTCAGCGTCAACTGTACCATCAGAAAAACTTTGGCTTTTGTTCTATTTATACAACGTGTTTTCTTACGATTGCTCTTTGACATTGTGAATTTCTTTGAAATTATTGTCCATGTTTGTGCAATATGTAATATAATTTTCTTTTTATTAACGAGGAACAGACGGGGCGCTCCACTATAAATGTTTTGAGAGATGTTTTCGGAACCGGTTTAGAATGGCATTATTTGTGTGATTTATCGTTTCGTGTTCAAGGCAGTTAAATCATGTTGGGTTTTTTCAGCCACGGAGCAGTTTTATAATGAGACATGGTTGTATTTGGTTTAATACATGTGCAGGGATTTGTTTTTAATCTTTTATCATTCACCTAATAACAAACTAAAGAAAGCAAAGCCTAAACAGAATGGTTAACCCAACTATTACTCATCATATTTGTGTTAGAGAAGGCGTGATGAATGAATGGGCAAAAACTGTTTAATAAACAATTTTAATGCACTGTGTAACAACTGGCAGTGGTTATTCTTTACAGTCACAAAGATACACAGAATTAATCAGCATCATTATGTGTAACTTAGGTTGAGCCCAAAATTCTATATTCTAAGGCAAGATGGTCGCGGGTTCAAACCCCAACTGTGCACTAACTGGATGGTTTGCATTTCCCGGGTGGGTTTGGGTTTTTTCAGATATATTTCCTTTCATTCCTCCGGTTTTCTTAAAAAACACATGGGATTGTCTAAGATATTCATTCAAGTGTAAATGTTTGTTTGTCTCTACATGTGGCCCTGTGATGGACTGATGAATGGAGACAAATCATCAAGAGTAGACCCAGGTATTATTTCAATTTGAGTCCATTTTATTGGACTCACTTGCTGGTTGTGTTGTCTAGCCCGTGTGTCGTGTGTGTTGTGTGTAAAGTACATAGCGTTGGAATGATTGCAGTAATACCTGAATCCTTTAGACATAAAGGGTCAACATTTACATTTAAGATTTCCTTAAATTCACAATTTTCCACAGAAGCATTACAGAGAGCACATTTGACCTAATGATCTATCCTCATTTATTATGGTTGATCACATTAGAGATGCTTGGTCAATGAATGTGGCCAAAGTGATGTCACGCTGCGACAGGCCTCCACAGTCATGTGTGCTCAAAGTGATCTGGACCTAGAGGGAAAAACAGGAGAAAAACTGTATTTTGTTTTGTTGTTGATCTGTTGTATCTTTGATTTTTATACATAATATTTAAACTCCAAACAGTTAAAGAAAGATATTCAAAGTTAAATAATGCTTCTAATTTATTAAGCAGACCTGCGTACATTTATAGAAATGTTGTGTTCATCGTAGTACATCCAAGATAAAACAATTTATCTTGTCAACCCTTAAAAATTTAAATGGAGGGGTCAGAAGGTTCCAGTGATTTTTTTTATTTGACTAACAGAGGTGAATATGTAACATCATGGAAATCAGTTATTCTGTTGTGTGAATTAAAATCTTTGATAAAGTAATCTCTTTGAATTGTAGCTAACTATAAATTACAATAGGAATCTAAAGCCTCACTACAACCAGCATTAATCCTACTGTGATTATTGATCAGAGGTCTCTTTATACCTTATTATAGACATTAAACCACTCAGGATGATGGTCCATTTTCTCTGCCTGTAAAGCCACTCTGGACATGAATCCGAAAGCCTGAAAAGAAAGAATATCAAGTTCTAACATATTATTTACAAACTGTCAGCTGTGAGGAGTTTGTGAGTTTGGTTTTGTAATAAACCAACCTGGTTAAAGTCTTTAAAGACAAACTCTTTGTAAATGGCGTCCCGGCCCACCACCTCCACCCATTGAGCATTTCGTAGTAATGGTAGAAGGTGGGCTCTGTCATCCTCACTCAGGCCCTGGATTTTACCAGCCTGCAAACACACAACAGATGAGTGGTTCTTTAGGGGTTTTTACTGTCGAGGGGCAGTTTCATAAACACAGGCTCTGATTGGTTGCACATGATCCCATCTGGAAACAATGATTCTCTGCAGTCCTGCTTTAAAACACCAACCGGTTCATAGTCATGTGATGGTGGTGGTGGCTGGTCGTGCCTCTGATCACATTTTTCAAAGATCAAATTAGTTCACAATCCAGCTTTCATGAGCCTAACGTCACATCCCAGCCACACTTCAGACATTTTTCTATATTACTAATGAATATGTTGTCGAATCAAGAGGCCACTGTAAAGGGAGAAGGTGGGCTTTGTTTCCAGTTGAGCAGTCAGGCTTTTACACCACAAGATCCAACAGATATCATGATGACCACCGACTGGAACTGAGTGGTGACATCACTGGGTATCATAGCAACCCTCTAATCTGCTTCATCTGAGCACTTCAAGGAGACATGACAAACAACACCCACCTATGCAAACACACACTGTTGCTTCTGTCATTCAGATCCATTCAATAACATATCAGCAAAAACAAAAATATGTCACTAAACACATGCAGTTACTCTTCAGAATGCAATCCAAGCCAAACATTGAATATAAAAACCAACAGGTTCCTGAGGCACCGTGAGTCCTGTGTGTGGACAGGTTGTGTACTCACCATGTTTGCTGAGTCTTTTCACACACACACACTGATGGAGCAGGTTCAGCTCCAGCTCCCTGCAGCAGCACAGAGCTAAAACCACTGTGACAGTCAGTCCAAAGAACACATGAGCGTGGGGTCCTGCTCACAGCTGCCTCTGCATAAGCCTGAACACAAATACTCAATGCTGATTGGCTACAAAGCACGCCTGTCAACACAGATTAATTATAAACTCTCACCTGTTGCTCAGATAAACAGCTGAGACAGACGTAAAGGCTCCTGTAGCAGTGTTCAACATGGAGGATGAAAACAGGTAGAAAAGTGTTCTGTTAATGAGCTATTTATGCTGTATATGAGCCAGGGCTAACATGTCAAACTGTTAAAGGTTAGGCACGTTACCCTGGTCGTATAGTCCAGAGATTGGACTAGTTTGACTCCTAGGTAAGAACATGGCAAATATGGTTAATCCAACCAACATTAGATATGCAAAGGTTGGTGCAGAAAATGGTAATAGTGTGCAAAAATGTAGCTAAAATTATGCTAAAGGAAGCCAGTATTAAAGCCCCATATAAATACACTAGTGAAAATGACTAAAATATCAAGCACGGAAATTGTTGAAATTAGCTTAAACTTTGATGTTAGCTTTAATAACTCTAGAACAATTCAAACTGAAGGCCAAAATAAGGCCAAAATCTGAAGTTAAAAATAGTCAGAGAAAAGTACCTAATACTGTATATGTCAAATGTAGCATAGCAATATCACTCAAAACATTAGAAACGTTTAAATTAGCCAAGACCATAGTGTTATGCTCGCCAATAGGAGGCTGAGGAACATCTATGGCTAAACTATAACCGAAATTACCTCCAGAAATAACTTGAAACGAACAAAAACAAAAAACAATCCCATATGCTAGCTTTAAAATAGAAAAATAATAAAGTGAAGGCAAGTTAAAGATGAAATGTGTTATTGTCCAACTGGGACGTGCATTAGTGTTAAACCTGAGCTTGAACTGCTCAGTGTGGG